GCACCATTTAAACAAGCCTTTGAAGCAAACCTTTGATTCAGTAAATTATTCAATCAAAACCAGTCTGAGGAACAACTTTATTGAAACTGTATTTTTATGCTCACTTCTGTTCAACAATTGGCAAAATTCAGCATCTCCTCTAGACTTTTTCCTTCTCCCAAACAGCTTACCATTTTTAATACTGGAAGTTATTAATTTCTGAAATAATGTTCATTGCCATCAACATCTCAGTTTTTATCAGAACCCTGAATTTGTGCTATAACTTGATCTTCTAAGCTCTCTTCCTTGACTCCAGGATTTGTCGGGCTACCCAGAGTCTCTCAGGGCACAAAATGAAGTCCAAGGTTCACCTGTGACAAAAAGAATGATTTCATTAGTCTCAATTCACAAAAAGTTTCATTTATTAGATAAACAATCTTTACTAGAGCATTTAACACTATAATTTCAAAACTAAAAAAGAAAACATCATCAAGAACATAATTTTTCTGAAAAGGCTGATAATATCTCCAATCTGGTTATCAAACTATAGCTCCATTATTTTCAAAATTTTTATTCTAGAAGATGCATTAAAATAGGAGCACTCTTCAACTAGATTCTTACATTGCTTAATTCAAAACCCAGGGCTAGTTTGAAAAGTCTCCAAAATGAAATTCTTGTTGATAGATTCCCAACCCTAATTCTGCAATGGCTGCAATATTCAGCAAAGAATGAAAAAAAAATCAGAAGTAGCTGTGTTACTTAGTTCTTTCAAGAGTGACTTCACTGATCTGAAGAGATTTTAGAGAGACTACCCTAACTCAATATTGCCCTTGAGTTCATTGTATTCTTTTGAGCACTCACAGAGCTGTCTTCTCAGAACTCTTGGGATCTAAAGCAGGTGAGGCAGATTGAGCATACAAACATTGGGGATTTTTCCCTTTGTCATTGCCATCTCATTCAGAAAAGTAGTTACCACACATAGGTAAGTTTAAGCATGTGTGCAGTCCTAATGAAATGAACAGTATCTTGCTGCCCAGGGCCTCAGGAGTGTCAAACTTCCTCTATGCCTTCTTCACTAGTAACACAGTTTTAGCAACAAAACATTTGGGCCAAGGACGTGGAAAACTAGAAGAAAAGTACAAAACCCCAAATACGCCTAGCACAGAACAGAGATCAGTGAGAAGCAGGTGAATGCAGCTTTCTGCCCTGATTTAGTAGGTGCTGGTTACCAGCTCGGCACCAGTCCCTGGACTATCCCAAGCCATGCCAAGTGCTAGCAGACAGGACAGGCACACAGGAGTGAGGCTGAGCCTGCTGGGCCTCCCTTCCCACACTGGATTCCTTTAGAGGGGGTAGTCAGGGAACCTCTGGACCTCAGCACATGAAGCACCCAGAAAAAAAAGCAACCCGCCAGGCCAAGAGAACACTTTCAAAATGAAGAGAAAGAAGAGCAAGAAGTGTAATACCATTCAAGAAAACTTTCATCATTGACTTTTCGAATGGTCCAGTCCTGCAAACACTGAATACCCAAATCCACCTGTCACCAAAAGAACAGGTGTGCGTTGACATTTTAATGTCACTACCAGAAAACTAATCTCCATAGTCAAGGACTTAGAACTGCTCCCTCAGCTTGTTCTTGATGCATTGTTTTTCTTGGTGTGGGTAACAACAAAGGCATAAGGATACCATCAATCACCAAATTTGTGTGTAGTATTACATAAATCACTTAAATGATCTCCTCGGTTTTCTGAGATATGATGTTGACAGTTTCAAGTAGAAATTCCACTTGTTAAAAGTACTAACAGTTTTTCAATACACCTTCCCTACGGCTAGTTATTGCATCTTCCCAGGGTGGATCTGTTGAATGACCTTATTTCTGATCTATGAATATTTATAAGGGTAAATGAGACAAGGATTTACACAAAACTTCTTTCTAAAATGATCTGCTCTCATTCTTTTTAAAAATTAGCTATTAAAGAAGGCACATCAGTTTAAAGTTCAAGCTGCATGAATATGCTACCAAGATATGGTGTCATTAAAAATCCTTATGCCTTGAATGTTTCCCTTGAACTTTGTTTCAAAGTTAAAAGATTACATATATCATAAACCAAATTCAGTCTTTGTGTAGGTCAGCTTCAAATTGCAGCCATTCCCATCAGGACTGAATTGGTGTCAGGCACCTCTTGGATTACAAGCCACTATAAAAGAATTAACAGACCAGAACTATGAAACTTATTACAAGTCAAGTACATTAAATAAAAGAGGATCCTACCAGTTGCATCATCAGCTTCTGTGTCTAGGAGAGCATCTATTGAAGCCATGCTTGTGCCTATGAAGGAGTCTGTAGTATCAGACACTCCTCGCTTGCTGAGACAAACTTCTTTGAGTTACTGACTTCTCTGCTTTGATCAGTGTCTTTTACTAACCTTCTGACTGTCAGGAAGGTTACACAACTTGTTGAGAAGGTTTTTCTAGGCCTTCCTACTATTCCCCAATGCACTTTTTAAATTGTACATCCACAGGTTCAATTTGTAGTATCTTCCAATAAGTATACAATAGAGAGTAGGACAGAGATGAAAGATGTTTTCCCCCACCAAATCCACCTTTTTTTGTGAAAGGGTTAAGTACTCCTTATTTCTGTTAGTCCTCTCTTGCAAAGAGGGAAGAAAATCTTCATTGAGATACATTTTCTTCAGGAGGTATCTTCTGTTCCTCCCTGACCTTTTTCCAGTGGAATTTTCATCCTGTGTCCTTTTTCCTCAATAAATGTGCCAGCAAGACTTAATTAATATAAGTTGTTGCAAAAGTAGAAGTTTCTTTCTTATTACATTTCTGTAAAAAGTTGTAACTGCCTTTGGCATTACCAAGTTATAAATTAGTTGTATGGATAAATCAGATTATTTTCAATGTAATCTCTTCCTGAATAATCTGAATTAGGAAACCAAGACTTGGGAGACTTTAGTCTTCAAACTTACATATATGAGGCCAGGGTCTTCTAAATACTTGCTCCCTGTTATAAATTTATTTGCCTGAGGAAGCCCTAATTGAAGGCTCAATTAAACAGTGGTGCCCAATAGTGGTGCTCATAAATAAAGTTATTCCTAGGCACAGATTTTTGTAGGATTAGCCAAGAACACTTACAACACCTTTTTAAAACTTGTTTCCAAAGATTCCTTTAATCCATTTACTAAAACCCCCATATTTAAACCCTCAAACTTAAGAACTTTAAAAGCTTGCTCTTATTTTTTCCTAAATCAAGACTATAAACTATTCACCACATTGTACCAAGTATGTTCTTGTTTTAATTAATCCTTCATTTCAGAGGGTCAAGCAGTTATCTAGTTCATGTTCCAGTCTCAAAAATTTATGTTCAGAAGAATGCTCTACTCTCCTAGCTGTTGCCAGTTTATTGCAGCTCTTAACAGTCACTATGACAGAAAAGGCAAGAACAAGAAATGCAGTAAGAGTGAGCAGGTGTTTTGATTCAGGAAGAATTACACAGTATCTACAGTAGAGATTATGTGCATACATAGAGCCCAAGGATTCAGTTATGTCTCCAGACAAAACACACCATGTTTATTTCAGACTGTACCGGACTTATCCATATTGCAAACTACCCACAGAGGTGCTAAAGCATTGATTTATTAATTAAGGAGGAGGACAATAGAGTACTCTCCTAGAGTAACCCAAGTAACATGCCTGTCTCAATCCTTTCTCCCTCCATCTAAAAATGCTCCAGGGAACAAGGGTAGTCAAGTGCTCACTTGGACTTCTGGAGTTGGAGTCTCCTCTCAATTACATGCACGTGTTACCCTGACAGTTCCAGTGAATGAAATTTCTGCCAATGAAAGCAGGAAGATAATATATCTTTCAGAATTTACATCAGTGGCAATTGTAGGGAAGAAAAAAATCTGTTACTCTTCATTTTGATCTTGTGTGTGGCATTCCACTATGGCTGAATGAAACTGAAGCAGACAACCCACTAGAATTACCTGAATTAACCTTAGAAAGATAAGCATGCCACTGTTTGCCAGAGTCCAATACTAGATACCTTTCTTAGGCTAGCTCACATCCCAGGTTCAAGTTCCCCCTCAGATGAATTTTAAAGCATTAACTAATTAACTCAGTGCAGTAGTAATGAAGACCCTGACAGCCCAGTTGTGAAAAAAATAAAAGCAGCTTTCCAGTTGTCATGGAGTGAAATTCTGCTTTCATTACCAATACAGCTCTCCTCCCATGCTCCTGTATTTTTTTCAATGAAAGATGCATAGGGTTTGGAGTGCACAGATTTGGTACACGTGCGCAGCAGCTGGTCTGACATGATAAAGCAGAATGAATCTGAAGAAGTTCCTGCCTGTGTGACCAATAATCCATGAACTAAGAGGGATTTACTCAATAGACCAGCACAGATTCTATCCTGTCAAAATTAGAGACTGATTTTTTTTTAAAAAGTGCCTAAAGCTGTTTTCTGATAGATGTTTTCCATTCCCCAAAAGACCTAGACAGCAAGTAGGAGGCGAACAAAGGTGGGGGGAGGGAATTGTCTGAATCCTGCAATGTTTATAACTTCGTATTCGCTTGATTTGAAGCTCCAACCATAGAATTTGTTACTGAAGACATTTCTGTAACTCAAAGAAAATCAATCAGAAGAATAGCATCCAGCATGCACACACACTGTATGCCAAGGTAGCATCCCCGACACCATGCCTAAATTTAATTCTTAAATACGACTTATTCGCCATTCTCTCTTGCTAGGTGGGAACTGCCGAGAGCTAAAAATAGCACCAGGATTCAGTGGCTGGAGCTAAAAATACCCTTTCCCGCTCGATTACCGACTCGGTAGGAAAGACGGAGCTCTTGGCATCTGTCACAGCCTGTAACCGCCAGCTGGGGATGGAGACAAAGAGCCCAAGCCCGGAGTTCCGCGCTCGGGGAAAGTTTCAGCGGCAGGCGAAGAGGCCACGGGACCCCCACCCACCCCAGCCCGGGCGGCGCCCCCGGGCCTCCCCGCCGCCCCTTACCCGCGTTTCGCAGCTTCTTGTTGCGGTAGACGGAGAGGATGACCAAGAGGTTGCCCAGCAGGTCCACCGCGATGGTGAAGATGAGGATGGCGGCCAAAGTGGAGGTCACCCAGGGCTGGCGGCGCGGGGCGCCCTCGGCCGGCGGGTCCCGCGGGAGGACGGAGCTGTTCAGCTCGCTCTCGTTCACTCTCATCCTGCCACCGAGCCGCCCGGGGCACAACCGGCTACCGGCGGGGCGGGCGCGCTCGCCAGCCCAGCCTCCGGCGGGGCAGGGCGGGGCAGGGCGGGGCAGGTCAGGGGTCGCCCTAGGGCCGCGGGGCTGCCCGCCCTAGGGCGGAGCGGGGCTGGCAGGACCGGGCGCAGCTCCCATGGCGGCCGGCACTCCGGCAGGAAGTTTCCCCGAAGTGTGCGTGTGCCGCGGCGGGACACTTTTATAGGCCGGCCGCGCCGCCGCCCCGCCCGCCGCCACCGCTGCCGCCAGGTGACACCGAGCCGCCCCCGCGCCGGCACGTGCGCGGCCGGGGCTCCAGCTGCTGCCGCGCGGCGCCACAGCGCCCCCCCGCGGCGCCCGCGCCGCCCCATTCACGCCGCGCTCCGCTTCCCCATTCATGCTCCCGGCCGCTCCATTCAGAGCCGGCCGCTCCATTCACCGGCGGAGGCGCGGCGGGGATCGACGGGGCTTGCTGTCTGCGGTTGGGTGGTTTGCAGCGCTCGGCGCTATTTTTAGCCCTCCTGGTTAACGCCGGCTCTTAATTAGGCGCCCGCCGAACTCCCTTCCCCTCCTCCCCCTCCTTTATTTAACATCGCACCCGCACGGTAACGTGAGCGCGGCGAGAAACCTCCCATCGGGGAGCGGGTCGGGGCTGCTATAAAAAGCTCCTCGCGAAGGAGACTGGCTGGCTGGGCAGGGGGGGCGTCTGAGGACCCGCGTCCCGGGAGCACCACGTGCTGCCGCAGCGAGGGGGCGGCGGGGGGGATACGCACCGCCCGGCAGCCCCCCCCTCTCCTCCTCCTCCTCCGCAGCCTTTCTTCCTCCCCCGCACCCTGGGCAGCGGGGGCGGTCTGCACAGGGAAGACGGAGAGAAAGGTAGCGGGGATGCCCCGTGCCACCCCTACGAGCCCGGTGATGTCTGCATCTCCTGTCCCCCAAAAGTAGCATTTGCTTTAAAGACAGGAGGGAACGGGGAGCCATTGCCCAGCCGTGAGGAGTACCCAGTTGACTGAATAGGGTATCCTTCACCCTCTTGTGCGGTGGGCGCTCTGGTAAATAAATAAACAAATTAATTAATTAAATTAAAAAAAAAAAAAAAGAAAGCACTTTCTTGTGACTGAATCTTCTCTCTTGCACGGTGTAGAGCTGTTGAAAATCTCTGAGCAAACTGGGCGTGGGAATCACTCTCCCATTCAGGATAAGGCGCTGGGAGTGCGGACGGCAGTGCGCGCTGTGTTCCGCCGAGCGCGGGGCTGGGCGCGGTGCTGGCGGCCAGGGCCGGCTCCGCGCACCCACCGCCGCCCGGCCGGAGCGCTCACGGGGCTGCCGCCGCTGGGGACAGGCGGGGAGCCAGCGCGGGGCTCCCCTGCGCGGGGGCTGCTCCTGGCGCCGCGCAGCCTCCGCCGGCCGCTGCGCAGCGCGGGCGGTGCCGTGCGCGGCTCTGCGCGGGGCGGGAGCGGCGCAGGCGGCCCAGCCCAGCCCGGGCTCACGGCGCGGTGTCCCGTGGCAGCCCGAGGTGAGGGACAGCCGAAGCCGCCGCGGTGACCAGCGCTTACGTAACGCGGCGGTGTGACGGGACACCGCGCAGCGCCCGGCCCGCAGCCGCGGAGGGGCGCGGACAGGCGGGGCGGCGGCGGCGGCGGCAGCAGCGGCACCCCCGCCCTGGCAGGCGCCGCAGCCGCAGCCTGCACGGCGGAGTGCCAGGGAAACCCCGAGCTTCCCATTCACCCACGGTTTTCTTACGCCACCGCGGGCAGCGGAGCGAGGAGCACCGCCGCTCAGCCTCCCGCTGGTGAATGAGGCCGCTTGTGTTTCGTGCGGGAAGTGCTGATTTATTTGATCACTTACTGGCTTATTAAAAGCTCAATATTACGGCAGCGTGTTTTCCCGCCGCCTAGATAAATAGCAGTCCCGGGGAGATGTGTCGGCACTACAGAGGATTCCTTCCAACTGCTTCCCGAGCTGCATCCAAAGCCCGTCCATCACTGGAGATGGAGAGCAGCAGCCCGCCCTACAGCCCCTCAGCGCGGCGCCGCAGCTCCTGGGCAGGGGGTGGCGATGAGCACGCCCTGACAGCCACATCCACCCGCCACCAGCCCCCGCCCTCCATCCCCCCCGGCAGGTTAGTGCATGTGTCCGTGTAGGTGCATAACAAGTAGGTTATCAAGCTGTGGGAGAAGATTAAAAAGAGGAGGAGCCAGTATCAGGGGGATATCAGATCAAGGGCAGCCACACGTGGAGACAGGCAGAACTGCCTGGTCCTCAGTAGACCTCCACGGGTGTTTCACTGGACAGGGAGGGGCTGGCTGCCCAGAGACAGCTGTGAAGTTTCACAAGGTCAGGTATTTTTAACCAGAAGGTAGAGCGACGATGAGGATCAGCCCAGGATTTTGCTTCAAAGAAAGAGAATCTGGTCCATGCAGGAACTGCTGTTATTTGTCTCATTCTTGGGATGATCAGTGACATATTTGCTACTTAGACCCACAGGGGAATGAAGATATCACTCTATCCATCCCATTTTAGTCTTGTGGACCAGGGCTGCTTGTGTGGTGGGAAGGGAGCACTTCTTGAAAAGGGGTCTGAAGATGTCCTAAGGCATCACTACCAGAAAACCCTATATGAGAGCTAAGGGTGACCCAAGCACCAGCAAGGGCCATGATACATTGAGAAGCCTTGTATTGCTGCTCTGTGTGTTGGATTTGTTTCCTGCAGAGTGGGAGACGGGCATCAGGATGCGGGTCAGGCTCCAGCAGGAACCACCTTCCCATTCCCCACCAGGAAGTGGGACAGCTTTCTCTTTCCTCCCTCTCACCTTGACAGAGACAAATCATACTAGAAAATGCTGCTCTTTAAGGTTTTGCATGTGTTTACTTACATTCTGGAGAGTTACAGACTCTAAGATGCCACCCAAAACAAGCAAGCTGTGAAAACTGCAGAGGAGCAGATCTAACATCAGGCTCCTTCACACTGATCAACATTTAGAGTCAGTCAGACAGTCTTAGAGGCAGTTTGGTATTGCTTGTTACATCCTCTGAGGCTGGTCTCTCTGCCTTCACATTTTCTGTACTTTTTCTACATGCACATTTTTAAAGTACAACTGAGTGAAGTTAAATGATGCTTTACATGAAAGCAGCAGAAGATAAGATCAGGGCAGAAGAACAAGCAAAACACTTGGGCCAGCCACCCCATATTATAATAATTTAAATCAGAGTTGACTTCACTGTAGTGAGCAGTATTGGCAGAGACCTTATTACATGAAGAAATATAGAACTTGTCTGATCTGTCATAAAAGAGTCCTGATTTAGTTTTGCTTGAGTTGTTTGGGACATACCTGTTTCTCATTCTGTCTCCAGCCAAGTTTCCTGGTGGATCTTGAACTGATGTTGTAGTCTTGGTTTTGGTCCTGTCTCCTGTTGATTCAGCCTGGCCTTTCTGGATGAGTGGAAGGCCTGAGTCATCTTTTTGTCCTGTCTAGGGCTGGCAGTTCAGCCTGTTGTCAGCATCTGTCTCTGGCTGCTGCTCTTAGGTCCTGTGAGACTGTGGTCTAGCTGGTGCAGGCACTGCCCGGGCTCAGGTTTTCCTTGGCTCCTGGATGGCTTTCCTATGGAGAAGCTCTTAAAACTACACAGCAAGGACATTAGATGAGTTGAGGGAGCACCGTCCATCTTAAAAGATAGGTAGAAATATAGAAAACATGAGAAGAAATCAACAATTCAGCTGGTTCTCTGGGTAAGAGAATGGGGACTGCTTGGCAGATGAGATTGAGATGATCATTAACAGGGGCAAGTACTGAGACTGGTACTAGCAAGTACTGGGGCTAGTGTGGGTGCCTGGCAGAGAATGGGCAAAAGGCCCATTTGTCTCCTTAAGTAGTTTTCACCATGGTACAGTGTGGTTTTCTTACATCAGAGGAAATAGCTGTTGAGGCTGATGGCGGATAAGATATCTTGGAAGGTGTCGACTTGAATACAAATATGGGAGGAAGGCCTTGGAGGGCTGTACTGGAACAGGGAGGTAAGTTGATTGTGGTGCCTGTGGCAGAGAAGCAGCAGCTTCTGATATCCTTTATGTTTTGGTGCCCTTCTCTCCTTCAGAAAAGCCCAGGAGCTGCATGAAATATATAAATGCAGACTCTATTCTGCTCAATCACAATAGGTATTTCTGTAGAGAAAAGCTGAAACTTAGCACCGAGGTGGGAAAAAATGAGGTAAGCCAACTGGCAGTGTGTTTCTGTGATGAGCAATAGTGTGGAGAGTAGGAGCAGCTGCTCATTTGAATGCTTAGCATCAAATTAGGTGGGTGCAGATTGTGTCTGGTGCTGTTCCTTACTATTTGAAGACCTTCATAATTCCCGTTATGCTGAAGAATAGTTATGGTGCTGATGGTTCTTGAGCACTCTAGGAAAGAAAGGAAACCCACAGCTCCTCTTCACTGCGGTGCTCGGAGATATTTTCACCATTACATTTGCCAGATTCTTGGGCTGCTCTCCCAGCACACTGACACAGCCACTGAGTTCTCCCCACAGCCCTGCCTTGAGAGCTGCTCAGTACACAGATCTTGCTGATACACCTGTGGGGCAATGCCACTTCCTCAGCAGTTAAACTGCTGTGGCAGCAGGTTTGTTGCAGCTCATCCCGTGGCAGGAGGTATCCACTCTTCATTACATCAGACCATTGGCTGTGATGCTGCACTACAAAAAAGAAAAAAAAGCTGTCTGTTGCTCCTTCTGTCTTTTAGAGGAGTGATTCAGAGTGCTGAAATTTTGCCATGTTTTATTTTGTGATGTGCAGCTTTCTTTCCCTGAAAAGTCTTTTATTTCAGTGTTTTTTTCATTGTTAGAATCTGTGGCATCTTCTACCTACATGTTTTAAGTCATAAAACAGCTCTGTAAATCGCATGCTCTCCATGAGTATTGGGTTTGGGCAGATGATGCAAGAGATTGATAGGAAATGTGCCAGGTCTTTAATTCTTCATTCAGCACTGCCTTAGAACATAGTTTTTGTATTCAGAGAGCACTGTTATGACAATTCTTAGGCAACACATGCTGCTTTTGCTTCTGGCTTTGGGGTTTCTAAGGTGA